TGTATATCAATCAATCGGCAGCAAGCAAATCAACATCAAAACAAAGTAATCAAAAAACACCCAGGATGCCTTTTGCTTGGGGTCTTAGTGTTGGCCTACATGTGATAAAACTTTTCCTTTAACTTGACAAGAATTATGTTTTCCTTCTTAGTCTAGCACTGAAGTGAAAGAACAGGCAGACATCCCAGATTTATTCACCTCTTACTATGAAAGCTATAGGAGTGCGTGGTCTCTAAAAACACAAACAAGAGAAATGCATTTCCGTTATCCCTGCGGGGCTTTGAGCCCATCATTCTTGTTGCTGAGTGGCCTGAGAACCGAAAAACATACCAAAATTAAATGACTTTTTGTTTATATTTTCTTCTTTCTGCTCTGTTGATGCAGCAGGTATTAATCTGCTTGATGCACTGCTGGCCTGGCAGGGTAGCCCTGCTCAGCTGAGGATGGCAGGAGAAGAACAGGTCACTGCCAATGTCAGCAGATACCCTGGACAGAAAACGATGGCCTTTCCTGAAAAAAACATTTCCCCTTTCTTATAGGGCATCACTTCTTGCTGTTGTAACACACATATCCAATAATAGTTGTGGGCGAGCTTTTGAGAGTCAGGTTCTTCCCGATTTGCAAGGGAAAAATACTGCCATTTCCCTTTCTCTCCTCAAAATACCTTTGGCATTTATTTATTCATCAGTTATTTTTGTTTATTGTGGGCCAGGCAATCTACTAAGTGCCAGGGTTACCAAGACCAGTAACACAGTACTAAAGAACTTGTTTATACTAAAGTATAAATAAGAGATTAAAAATACAGAGAATACTTTCCGAATACCCTCAAAAGTACCACAGCATTGCCTAAAATATAACTGTAAAGACTGGGAACTTCACTTTAGGGTCAATAGATTCTCAGAGATTGGGAGTGTAAGTCCACAATAATGGACCCTCCATCAACCTGGAGACTTTTTCTTATATTCTATTGTATCCTCAGCCAGAATAGAGACTCACAAGAGATATTTATTGGCTATTAGTGTGCAAGGAGCTGGAGCCATCTAGAATAATGACTTAGCCATGCGTGAATCTTCTCTATTTTTATTTCCAGCGCTAGCTTGTTTAGCTTTTCTTTGACAGTATTACTTCACAGAGTAGCCCATTCCATTTTTGACCAGCTCTGTCAGGAAATTCTTCCTCATTTTGTGTAGAAATGTATCTCCCTCCAAGTTCCACCCACGGAAGTGCATTCTGTCCTCTGGGACTCCCAGGAACACACACAACAGTTCTCTCCACTGTTTCTTTCTATTTTGAAATTTTCATGTCTACAAAAAAGCTGAAGAAACAGTATAAGTAACACCGATATGCCTTTCATCTATTCACCAATTATTAATAGTTTCTAATATCTGCTTCTTTATTGCTCATCCTGGATTTTTTTCCCCCTGAATTGAGATTTAGTTGCTAACATAAAACTATATCACCCTTATATTAATACTTTGGTATATATCTCCTAAGAATCACATTCTCCTGCATAATTATATTTCTATTCTACACCTTAAAAAGTAATGTTTAATAAAATATTATTTAAAATAACATCCATGTTTAAATTCTCTCCTCCCCAACCTTTTTTAAAGTTGGGACTTTTTAGTCCTAGTTTTTTTTTTAAATTCACATATTAGATTTGGTTGTCAATGTATCTTTGGTCTCTCTCTCTCTCTCTCTCTCTCTCTCTCTCTCTCTCTCTCGACGGAGTCTCACTCTGTTGCCCAGCCTAGAGTGCAGTGGTGTGATCTTGGCTCATTGCAACCCCCGCCTTGGCCTCACAAGCAGCTGGGATTACAGGTGTGGACCATCATGCCCAGCCAATTGTTAGTAGAGACGGAGTTGGCCATCACGTTGGCCAGTCTGGTCTTGAACTCCTGACCTCAAATGATTCACGTGCCTTGGCCTCCCAAAGTGTTGGGATTACAGTTGTGAGCCACCGCGCCTGGCCTCTTTGGTCTCTTGTTATCTGGAATATTCTCCCAGCATTTTTTTTTCCTAGGACTACTACATAAGTGTACTACTTATCTCACTAGTGATAATATACATGTTGACCACTTGATTTAGATGGTGACCACTAGGTCTCTCCATTGAAATGGTAAATTTCCCCCCTTTGCAATTAAAAACTGATCTATGGGGTGATATTTTAACAACTTTTCCCAATAACCTTTTCTTCTTCTTTTTTTTTTTTTAACAGCAGCTGGTATCTTTTGGTTTCCCAACAACTTTTTATAGAAGTTTTAGCTGCCACTGATGATCTTTGCCTGCATCAACTATTACTTTGAGAATTACAAAATGATGATTTTCTAAGTTCTGTCATTTCTTCTACATGGGATCCATTATCATCATTTTTTTGGATACTGAAATTACCCCAAAATTTGGCCAGTGAAAATCCCTTGATGCTACCATCTCTCTTTTCAACATGACCCCATTAGTTGAGCACTTCCTAGCTTTCTACCACAACTAGATGTCCAGGATCATCTTGATTTTCCCTTAGCCCAGACTCAGAATCTGCCATTCCTCCAGTGGCCAGGGTTCCTCTTAGTAGGGAACAGTATTTATTAGGAAGAATTCTGCTAGTTTCCTCCACATAACAGCCTCTGGGTGTTTGAAGTCAGCTATCATTTCCATCCCATGCACTTCCCCAAACTTCTACATCTGGGTTAAGTTCTCCCAATTCCTCACACCAGTCTTCTTATGGTCTAGCTTTGACTTTTATCTTACTCTTCTTTTTCATCTTCCCTGTCCCAACTCTGCTGCTATATTCTAGACCAGTGGTCCCCAACCTGACTATGCATCAGAATCACTGTTTAATATACAGATTTTGAGGATTCATTCGAGACTTATTAAACAGAATCTGTGGGGTGGGGCATGGGATTCTGTTTTGTTTTTTAAGGTCCCCATGTGGTATCTATATAGCCAATCCACTGCATACTTAAATTTTTCAAGGTCTTGTGGACCCTGAATTGAATAGAATATCAAAAATATGATCTAGGCCGGGTGCAGTGGCTCATGCTTATAATCCCAGCACTTTGGGAAGCTGAGGCGGGCGGATCATGAGGTCAGAAGATCGAGACCATCCTGGCTAACAGGGGTGAAACCCCATCTCTACTAAACACACAAAAAATTAACCAGGTGTGGTGGCGGGCGCCTGTAGTCCCAGCTACTTGGGAGGCTGAGGCAGGAAAACGGTGTAAACCTGGTAGGTGGAGCTTGCAGTGAGTTGATATTGCGCCACTGCACTCCAGCCTGGAATACAGAGCGAGACTCCGTCTCAAAGAAAAAAAAAAGTATGATCTAGAGCTACCACTTTTAGACTGAACACTAAACTTCTTTCAGTGTAATCAAATCAGTGCAGACTTTTTTGGGCGAAGGTAGACGCAATGACAAAAGATTTTTGATTCATGGTGAATTTATGAAGAACTAAGTCCTTCAGACTTCTTCAAAAATATTGCTAAGTCACAGCTCCCTTATCTTTTTATGTTCCACTGGTGTTTCATTCTAAGGATTTGCATTTGCACCTATTAAAATTCATATTGCTCAGTTCAGTCCAATCTTCAGAATGTCACAGTTCTTAGGGATCCTGTTTTTACCATCCTAAGTATTTTTTACCCTTCCAACTTTATGTCACTCACAGTTAAGCATGCTGTCAAAGTCCTTTCTCTTACATTGCCTTATTTTTATTTTTAACCGAGATGAAACAATGTTTTGCTATGTTGCCCAGGCTAGTCGCGAACTCCTGGGCTCAAGCGATCCTCCTGCCTCAGCCTCCCAAGTAGCTGTGATTACAGGTGTGAACCACCATGCCTGGCTGCTATTTTTCTTTAGGTATCTAAAATAAAAGAATCTTATGAACTGTTTAATGATTATGGTGGTAGATACATAATTGTACATGCCTGTCAAAACTAATAAGATTATACACAAAAAAGAATGAATTTTAACACATGTAAATTGTACCTGGAAAACAAAAATCAGTCAATATTCTAAATACCCAGCTATATTCTTCTCTCAGATTAGGTCTCACTAACTTATTTTGATTGACGATTTCTGCAAAATGCATTGCTATTCTAAGTAATGAAATGTTTATAGATTTTATATTTTTATTGATTGAGGTCAATGAGGATTTGGTTTACCAAAGTAGTCAACCCAATGAGTACATTAACAATTCCCACAACATAAAATATTTTAAAAAGGTGCTGGAATGTGGAATAAAAAGAAATTAATATTAGAAAAATTATAATCTTTCATAGTACTGGGTTAAACATATTAAATATAGCCTGTCAGTCCTGCCTATGAGAAGTCAGACAATTTTTCATCTCTAACTTTGACAAGGATTTTTTTAATGTACTCTTCAGTGTTGGAGAATTCTAGTGAAATACACTCAGTGTGGTTGAGAGCTTAAGTGATACAACCTTCCCCGCCACTTGAAATACCTAACAAAAACATAAAATAATCCATTTGAATATATACATACATATATAATCTAAAAGTCTAGAAAGAAACGTACAAAATTTTAGCAATAGCCAGCCATCGCTGGCCGACGGAAGGCAGTCTGGGTTTTGTTTTGTTCTGCTTTTTTCATGCTCTGTATTTTTAAAATATCTTTTAAATTTCTACAGCGAGCCTATATTCATTTTATGATTAGGAAAACAGCAATACACACTTATAAAAATACTGGTTACAGGGAGGGGAGGAAAATAAGTCACAAAAATAAAGAAATGAGAGTAAAATAATTTTTATGAAAATATATCTGTCACTGATAGGAATTCTTAAAATAAAACATGTTTTCCAGGTAGTCAATAGTTTTATATGAAATTTTTATTCAGAGAAAGAACAAGATTTCCCTTATGAAGCTTCTCTGAATGCCACAGAAGATTCCAATAGACAGTAACTCTAAAGAGGACACTTACATTGCCTCCCAACAATACTTTTCAAATAAGAAGCTTTATACAGAATTACTAGATACTGTAAATTCATACCTTGAAGAACGGTGTTCTGGTTTATTTCGTTCGTTGCGATCTGTAGAGAAAGAAGATGGTTACATGTGAAAATGTTCTTTAAAAGCTCTGGAAAGAAGTTTTTAAATACCAGCTGCCATACCATTAGATTTCACAAAGGACTGTTCAAAGGCAGTTGTGTCTTCCTAACTATAAGGCTCTTCATTACAGTTCGCCTGACAGAGGCAGAAAAGACACAACGAAGGACAGGCATACAAGCTTATGGTTTGTTAAAATCATCTACCTGGAAAACGTATCGTTACATGTATTATTTCATTTTAAAAGATCTTTCCTGTGCTAAATACTTTGCTAACACTAGAAGAGATTTAGCTAAGGAAAGAAAGCAAGGAAACTGCAAAGCCACAGATTACTCAGCTCAAAAAAATCATTCCATGAATCATGGTTGGCAGAAGCTTCTAACAGAATGGGGAGGGGGAAAAAATGAACAGTCAGCTACAACATCTGCAAATACTAAGACCAATACAGCTTCACCCTTAACTATCTATCACCCAGAAGTTGGATTTCAATGTTTCTCCAGTAATTAGATATAATGTGCCCTCCATATAAAATTTTTGATTGTCACAACTGGGAAGAAGGGAGCTCTTCATGGGTAGAAAGCAGGAATGTTGCTAAAGGTCCTACAATGCATAGGGCAGTCCCTTTCACCAAAAGAATTATCTCATCCAAAATGTCAGTAGTGCAGAGGTCGAGAAACCCTGCTATAGGGTAAGAAATAAGAGCACAGATGCTTGAACTTTTCAAAAGTGCCTCTCTAGACTGCTGTAAAATGCTATTAATCAACCTTGAGACTATCATATATAAGAGAAATAATCATAAAACCCACAGGTTGTCTTTTTTGAATCTGAATAACAATTTTTCCTCCACTATATGCTTAAGATTTAAAAATAAATGAAGTAAAAGGCCACAGTGTTATGCAAAAATAAACAATGTAAAACAATATACAAACCACAACATATCCTAAGCAATGACTTTAAGAAAAAATCCTATGGAATATTATCAAAATACAGTTTTCTATAGTATCTTCTGAATTAATGCTAACAAGATAGAATTTAATGGCAATGTAAAGATTAGACAGGAATTCTTTTAGTTTTTCTTTAATTTTATTGCTGGTGGAACAGAATAAGAGGATTATGAAACATACTCTAAAACTTCTAGAAAGAAATATGGAAGAAAAGGAATAGGATTTATACAGTTAAACATATGTAACAATTCTTTCTGAATGAGTTCATAATAAAAAAGAAATGTTTGTCAAAGCCAAAGAGTTAGTACTCACGAAAACACTGTTCTCTGAAAGACTAGTAAGTAAAAAGATCCACAATAAAGCATGTCTGCTTAGATATAATGCTTTCCAAACACATAGTGTTAGCACGTTTCTGGTTCCAATTTCTGTACACTGTGACTTAGTATTACTGCAGCTTTTAAAACTTTTCTGTTTTAATTTAACTTAGCTTTACCCCTCCCTTAAATGAAAATATCATGTTTTTCATTTGATGAGCATTAAGATTTTAAAGTCATAGGAACGCAGGGCACATTTAAGTCATTTCTTTCAATCATTCGTCTCCAGTTTTTAGCCTGCTAGCTTCGCTACAAAAATGAAGTATAATGTCTCAAAGTAAAGCCAGAAACTGAATACAGATTAGCTAGCCTCATATAACAAAGCAACAACTCTTACCTGTGGCTAAAGTCGAGCTAAAACTCTGTCCAGAACATCATTTGCTGTGGCTGTGATCCTAGCTTCATAGTTTATTTAGACATGTAATAGCAAATTTCCCCACTAATCTTCCTAGTGGTACAACACACAAGAGGAAGGGAGAAACAGAGTCACGATGCATGTAAACAAGACTCAGTATCCAAGGGCTTCCCTCCAGGGCCTGTTCTGATTGGCAGATGTGCTATGACCAGTCTGCACAGCTGGAATGTGGCCACTCAGGAAGCAAATGGCTCACAGCTCTCCTTCATTCTTGGTTAAAACAGGAAATTCTACAGTCATTTTTACACTTTCTGCTCTAAGAAAATACGAATGCCTTCTCATAGCACTTCTCTATTGAACCAGTAATTAAAATTCAAGAATAGACTTGATTATCTGCTGGGGGAAATTTTAAAAATTTCCCCCCAAATTCACTATTAGTGTTATCTGTGTTACATTCCTGTGTAAATATAGATACACAGTACTTATAAAATGTTACTCCTAAGAACTCATATAGTTGATAATTTGAGGGTAAGGGTAAATTATCCATTACTCACAATATTTCCCATCCCTCACCTCTTGACAATGAAAAACAAATTGAAACACATGTTCTTGGCTTGATCTTTTCTCTCAAAGTATACAAATACTTTGATTTCACATTTTGCCATAGAGCCATATTTTAGCTTAAATACATATAAATAATGGTGTGTGTGTGTTGCGTATCTGTGTGTCTTATCTACTTATACTTTTTCATATACTTATATTTTAAACAAAGTAATTTTCATGACAGTCAAGATTATTGTGCAATTGTCAAGAAATATATTAGCAGAAATAAATTTTTGGCAAAATAGTAAGTGGTTATTATTTTGTTCCAAAAGCCAAGACTGAACAAAACAAATCACGAGGGTGGATTCAGAATCTGCTTTCTTGCCAACAATAACAAAACATTTGGATAAAATCCCCTTAAGAATGAGAACAGATTTACAGCAAACATGGAAATTTAATTTGGCTATACAGAGTGCTTTAAGTGTATGGATTTTCTTTCAAATCAAATACTCTTCAGCACATTCTCCGAATTTTTTCTTTTTTCTTTTCTTTCTTTTTTTTTTTTTGAGACAAGGTTTCGCTCTGTACTCCAGGCTGGAGTGCAGTGGTGCAATCACGGCTCACTGCAGCCTTGAGCTCCTGAGCTCAATTGATCCTCCTATCTCAGCCTCCCAAGTAGTTGAAGTAATTAGGATTACAGGTACATGCCACCATGCCCAGTGAATTAATTTTTTTTTTTTGTAGAGACAGGGTCTCCCTATTTTGCCCAGGCTAGTCTCAAACTTCAGGACTCAAGCGATTCTCCTGCCTTGGCCTCCCAAATTGTTGGGATTGCAGGTATGAGCCACCATGCTCAGCCTTCCAATTTTTTAGAGTTTCCAATTTTCAAATAATTGGGGAAGAATATTTCTAAAGCTTTTCTGAACTTCTGCATATTTAGAAATCATATGAATAACTTTCTGGCCCAAAGTCTCACCATTTCTATGAAAAAAAGAGTTATTAAAAATAAAATGCCTTAACTCTAAAATTTGCCAAATGCTACACATTTGCTACGGATGATATACTTATTCCAGGGGCCCGCCCAGCAGAGCATGATGGTTTAGGTCACTCAAAGACCAGCAGGACATTCTCAGTGTGAGGGTAACCATGGTTGGGTAACCATGTAATGGTTTTGTAGATATGTATGACAGACACACACATACACATACACACACACACACACACACCCCTCTTGTATTCCTTGTCCCTCTCATCCATACCTCATGGTTAACAAAGCTAACTGAGGAATAGAAGAGTACTCTGTAAGTAGAACAAAGACAGAAAATAAGGCAGAGGCTGGGTGCCAAGGTTCACACCTGTAATCCCAGCACTTTGGGAGGCTGAGGTGGGTGGATTACCTGAGGTCAGGAGTTTGGGACCAGCCTGGCCAACATGGCAAAACCCCATTTCTACCAAAAATACAAAAAAATTAGCTGGGCGTGGTGATGCACGCCTGTAATCCCAGCTACTCAGGGGGCTGAGGTGGGAGGATCACTTGAGCCCAGGAGACAAAGGTTGCAGCGAGCCAAAATCATGCCAATGCATTCCAGCCTGGGTGACGGAGTGAGACTCTGTCTCAAAACCAAAACCAAAAACCAAAAAACAAGGCAGAGTTGGCACAAAGACTGTTGGTTGTGTATGTATAAATGCCGTGGGGGAGATGTGAGGGATGCAGTGGGGGAACCCATGGTTTGTCAAGGGGACTGAAGAACAGTTAGGAGAGTGGTAGGATGTTACCATGGGTTAAGGACTCTGTGTAAGAACTCCAGATTATCCATGTTTTCTTTTCATGTCAACTTGGTTCCATGTAATCTAGACACATGATTCCAATGCTTATGTATTTAGGTGTTATACCACTTATGTAGAAATGGGCCCCTGTTCTGGCAGGGACAGCTTTTGGGTACGGCTACGCAGATCCTACTGATGTGGAACCATTCAGGGTGATTCTGACTCTAATAACACTTTGAAATGGAAATGACAAAAATGCAAATGCCATCTTTGCTTTGATTAAAACTAAGAAGAATAGCCAACTCGGAACTTATTAGAATCTGTTGTAAGACATTCAGGCTTTGATGATTTAGCTTTGATCACTTAACTGGAGAGAAAAATCAAACCCCATTGGATAGGGACTTACTTTACTAACTTAACTTGGAAATGAAAGACCTGAAATCATTCTTTGAAATTAGGGGGAAGGCTCAGTCTATATGAATGAATATACACAGATATACTCACAATGGAGTAAGAAGTGGTTTAAAGTGAGTCTTTTTTTTTTTTTTTTTAATTGAGACAGAGTCTCACACTGTCGCCCAGGCTGGAGTGCAATCTTGGTGTGATCTCAGCTCACTGCAACCTCTGCCTTCCAGGTTCAAGCAATTATTCTGCCTCAGCTGGGACTACAGGTGCATGCCACCACACCCAGCTAATTTTTGTATTTTTAGTAGAGATGGGGTTTCACCATATTGGCCAGGCTGGTCTTGAACTCCTGATCTCATGATCCGGCCACCTCGGCCTCCCAAAGTGCTGGGATTATAGGTGTGAGCCACCACGCCCGGCCAAAGTGAATCTCTTATATCTCATCTTGGCATATCAAAATCTCTTTAGCAGGAGCATTACCAATGAAGTGATTCTGCAGAATACTCCCAAGCATTACTGTTAAGTTCCAGCTTGGGAGTATATATAGTAGATATCATTTTTAAAATATGGATGAACCCCACATCAACTCTTTGTGC